TACTGATATGACTTCATTGTCTATGGTACCTTTCAGCAAGATATAGTCTCCTTCTTTATCTCTTTTAATTAGATCTATTTTTGCTTTTGCTTTATCTGAGATCATGATTGCTACCCCTGCTTTCTTTGCTTCAGCTGAAATACAATAGATTCTGCTGCAGCCTTTTACCTTTACACTGTGTGTATCTTTCTGCTTCAAATGTGTTTCCTGTAAACAACATATTATAGGATTTTGGTTTTTAATCCATTCTGCTATTCGCTTCTGTTTTATGAGGGAGTTTATCCCATTCACATTTATAGTTATGATAACTGTGTATTTCCCTTCATGGTATTTTTCACTTGTTTAGCCCCCTCTCTCTTTTACCCCCACCTTTTCCCTCCTCACAAGTGTTTTACTTCTGATCACTGCCTTCCCCAATATACCTTCCCTTTTATCAGTCCCTCCTGCCCCCTCTATTATCCCTGTCCCTTTTTACTTCTTTATAAGGTAAGATAGATTTCTATATTCAACTGAGTGTGTATATTATTCCCTCTTTGAACCAACTTTTATGAGAGTAAGGTTTAAGTTTTGCCTGCCAATCCTCCACTCCATCTTCCCCTCCATTATAATAGCTCTTTCATGCCTCTTTTATGTGGGATAATTTACCCCATTCAATCTTCTCTCTCCTTTTTTTTTCAGTGCAATTTTCTTTCTCATCCCTTTATTTTGTTTTTGGGGGGTATCATCCCATCAGTGGCACCTTACATCCACACCCTCTGTCTACATATACTCCTTCCAATTGCTCTTATAGTAATAAAGTTCTTAAGAGTTACAAATATCATCTTGCCATATAGAAATATAAACAGTTTAACCTTATTGAATTTCTTATGTTTTCTCTTTCTTATTTTTTAATCTTTTTATGTTTAAAAGTCTTGTGTTTGAAGGTCAAATTTTTTTATTCAGCTCTAGCCTTTTAATTAGAAATGCTCGAAAGTCCTCTATTTCATTAAATATTCATTTTTCCCTGAAAGATTATATTTAGGTTTGCTGGGTAGGTGATTCTTGGTTGTAATCCCAACTCATTTGCCTTCTGGTATATCATATTCTAAGCCCTCCAGTTGTTTAATGTGGAAGTTGCCAAATCCTATGTAATCCTGATTGTAGCTAAATAATATTTGAATTGTTTCTTTTTGGCTGCTTGCAATACCTTCTCCTTGATCTGTGAGCTCTGGAATTTGGCTATGAGGCTCCTGGGAGTTTCTATTTTGGGATGTCTTTCAGGCAGTAATTGATGGATTCTTTCAATTTCTATTTTACCCTCTGGTTCTAATATATTAGGGCAGTTTTCTTTGATAATTTCTTGAAAGATGTTGTCCAGGCTTTTTGTTTTTGTCATGGCTTTCAGGTAGTGCAATAATTCTTATATTATCTTTCCTGCATCTATTTTCTAGGTCACTTGTTTTTCCATTGAGAAATTTTACGTTTTCTTCATTTTTTTAACTTTTTAAAAATTTTGTTTTATCATAACTTACAGTCTCATAGAATCATTAGTTTTCACTTGTTCAATTCTAACTTTTTGTGTGTGTGTGTGTGGCAATTGGGGTTAAGTGACTTGCCCATATTCACACAGCTAGTATGTTTTATGTGTCTGAGGCTGGATTTTGAACTCAAGTCCTCCTGACTCCAAGGCCCATGCTCTATCCACTGTGCCACCTAGCTGCCCCTTCAATTCTAATTTTTAAGCAATTATTTTCTTCAATGAGCTTTTGTACTTTCCTTTCCATTTGGCCAATTTTACTTTTTAGGGAGTTATTTTCCTTGGTAAATGTTTGTATATCTTTTCCCATGCTATTGACTCTTTTTTCATGATTCTCTTGCATTACTCTCATTTCTTCCCCCAATTTTTCTTCTATTTCTCTAATTTACTTTTTAAAATCCTTTTAAAGCTCTTTCAGGAATTCTTTTTGGGCCTGAGATCAAATTACACTTTTCTTTGAGGCTTCACATGCAGTCATTTTGACACTATTGTCCTCTTCTAATTTTATGCCATGATCCTCCTTATCACCATAGTAACTTTCTATAGTCAAGATTTTTTTCTTGTTATTGTTCATTTTTCTGCCTTCTTTGTGACTTGGTGTTTTCATATGAGAATTAGGCTCTGGTCCTGCGCTGTCCCAAGCTTTTTGTGCTGGGGCTTTGGGTCCTACTGCTGGCTTTCACCGGGCGTCAGGGCTTAGCTTCTGGCTTTCTCTGGAGGGTAGACTTCTCTTCTGGCTTGTACTGGGGTGGGGAGGGCTTCCCTCTTGGCCTCCTCAGGGTGTGGAGTTTAGCTGCTGGTCTGCCCCAGGGGTGGGGCCCTGCTGATGAGTTGCTATGGAAACAGGGTCTCTCTGCTGGTCGGCCCCAGGGGCAAGGTCTTGTTGGCCAGCCCCCTGCGTAGGTCTTCGGAACTGGTCAGCTATGGGGTCAAGGCCATTCTGGTGACTTGCGCTGGGGAGGGGCCTTGCTGTACTACACAGACTGTACTCTTGCCTAGGCGGCTGCTGGTTTGCAGGAGGCAGTGGGGGGTGGGACCTCACTGATGGGTTGCCCCAGGCTTGGAGCCTTGCTAGGCCCCCTGCTGTGAGGCTGCCTGCTGCTCTTGGACCTCCCTCCCCTCCCACCCAAGTGAGACAGACCTTTCCTACTGCTCTGGTAAGATGCTTCTCTGCTCCTAGACCGATTCTGAGGCAGTTTTCTGTTGTTTGGAGGGGAATTTAGGAGGGTTTCAGAGGGTTCCTTCCTCACCCCTTAGACTGCTGGATTTTCAGTTCCAGTAAGGGATGCAATCATAACTCTGGATTCTACTCATACTTTCTGATTCATGATAAATGAATGAATGAATAACAAAGCATTTATTAAACATTTACTACGTTCAAAGCACTGTGTTAAGTACTGGGGGATAAAAATACTCTGTTTTCAAGGAGCTCACATCCTAATAAAGAGACACAACAAGTAAAGGAGGTATCAACTATAAGTAAGATGGAAAGCCCTCATGGTCCTTGGGTTGCAATGGCAAAGAAGATGGTAATACATCTTTAATGTTATTTTCATCGATAAAACTATATTTCTGATGTTGAACCATTTGACAGTGCCGAGGACTTTGGTAGCTAGAACTTTCTTTTCCAAGTCCTTAGATTATGGGCTTCTTGAGGTCAGGGACTGCCCTTTGCCTCTTTTAGTGTCCCCAGAGCTTAGAACAGTGCCGGGCACATAGTAGGTACTTAATAAAAGTTGACTGATTGATTAAATCTTCAGGATCTGTGGATACTAAGGAGTCAGGGCCTATAGTATCTACAGAAGCAATTTCCAGGCTGCATCTCCACAGGGCTTGAGTCCTGGCCAATGGCTGTGGGAGTAAGGCTGGAAGGAGGGTCTGTGATCTAGGGAGTGTAGAGTCCGCTTTTCTCAGGGCTCTTCAGTTCAGGGTCCATCCAGGCCTAAGGGAAGGTGGTGGTCTGTTTGACTTGCTTGGCACATGCCATCTTCTGTCCCCTCCTTTAGGGGACCTTGCTCCTACAATTAGACTGACTTTCCTATACTGATGGGTGAGTGACAGTTAATAGGCATTTAGTGAGGATGGCTAGACCTTCTCCATAACAATTGCTACCCTGAATGATCACTTCAGTGACTGGGCTGGAAGCAAGGCCAGTGGTTGGGGAGTGTGGGATGGGGTGCTCCTGGATTCACCTGTCCATCACGGCACTTGGTTGGATGTTGGTGTTAGTGGGAGCTTGGTCGTTAGACCACTTGTCATGGGGGTTGCTCCCTTCAAGGATAGTGACAGGAGAGGGCTCTGCTATTTTTCTTCAAAAAATTAGGTATTTCAGCTGCCTCGAAGGTTTCAGTATAGCTCCCAGGGCAGGGGAATGGATGCAATGACCTCTGGAGTTCTCTTTTAGCTGTTATTAGTCTGCAAAAATTATAACATAATAACTGACATCTACATGGTACTGCTTCAAAATTTCCACTTGATTATTTATATAATGTGCTTTGCACATCTTTAAATATTATATAAATTTCAATTACTAGTCTTAGTATCTCATTCAGTCCTTATAATAAGCTTGTCAGGGTGGTCCTAGAGGTATATTATCCCCGTTTTATGGATGAGGTCAACTAAAACTCACAAAGGTGAAGTGATTTCCTCCAAGAGCACACAGTACATTCCAGAAGCTAGATTTAAACCCACTCCTCCATGCTGATTCTCTATACAGATATGTATAACTTTGGTCTTTGTACTTCTCTGTGCCTCAGTGTCTCCATATGTAAAATGACCAGAAGACAAAATGCTTAAAGATCTCAAAGGCTTCTGGCCACATGCTCCACCCTGAGCAACAGCAGTGGAGACACATTAATAAGCCGTTGAGGCCCTCAAGTCCAGGTTGCATTGAGCTGCCTGAGAATGAAAAGGTGGGGGGTGGGGGGAGGCCCGGGAGATGGTATGTGAGTGAGTTTAGAGTTGGAAATAAACAATAGGCCTGGAAATAATCTTAGCATTTTGTGAAGAGCCGCAATAAGGCATGCAAAGGAGGAAGAGGCGTTTCCACATTGAATGTACAAACACTGGGCAGCTTATATCACCACCCCCAGAACCTCCAAGGCAGAACTAGTCATTGGGCCCTTGTGTCAGACCCTTATTCTACTCCCAGTTTGCCCTAATCCTGGCTGTCAGGGGTTCTTCAGTGTTTGGTCCCAGCCTTACTCTCCTGGATGTCACCTTAGTGAGCCCAGAGTTTGTTGGACCAAGAGACCAAGAGTAACACTCCAGAATCCCCCTCTAGTTTAAAAAGTGCAAAAAGTGGCCATGTCAAGGCAGGGCCTTTTTCTTCTCTTGGAGGAAAACAAGTCAATCTGAGCTCTGGGCCAAGAGCAAGGTGTTCCAGGCCACCTCAAACCAACTAATCAGAAGGCAGTGGGTCTGGGTGAGGATGACTACAATGGATGCTGGAACCAAAATGTGGCTTATTTTTCTTTTCCCACAGGTTCCCTCGTTCCTCCATGGACCCAAGGAGAAAGGTAGACCTGAAGCTCATCATTATTGGAGCCTTAGGGTAAGATGAAGCCTGCCCTGTGTCCAGTCCCAGAATGATTGGAATTATATCTGACTGGGAGCAGTCCCCTTGCCTCAAGGGTGATGAGATGTCTTCCACACAGCTCTACCTTCCGGCAGTCCCTGAGCTTGGAGGTTACACTAAGGGAGGGAGTCTTGCCAAACGAAATATCTTTCCCGCAGCCATAGCAGTCTTGTCCAGGGGTTCAAGGCTAGGAGTCAAAAGACCTGGCCTCTGGTCTTCATTATTCTTCAGTTAACAAGATGACCTTAGTCATTTGACTGCTCTGGGCCTTAGTTTTTTCATCTGTCAAATGGAGATAATAATAATACCTGACTCATTTACCTTAGAGTGTAGTTTTTAGTACCAGATGTGACAATAGATGTGAAATGATTCTAAAACATTAAGTGCTATGATAATATAAGGTAATCATAATATATAATAATATAATGTTATAATATAATATAAGGTTATTACTGTTGATAACTTGTGAGCAATTCACACACATACACACACTCTAAACTGTAATCTCCTTGAGAACAAGGACTCTATTGTTTTTCATATTTGAATCCTCAGTACTTAGAATAGTATATCAATAGTACTACATTTATACATCAAGAATCTGTAATTTCTTCAGTGTAGATACATACACCTGGTGTAGAAACTCCATTCCTTCATTCAATATGCATTTATTAAATGCCTACTGTATGCGAGGCGCTGGCAATATAAGGACAAAATTAAGCCATCTCTGACCCCAGGAAACTTATATTCTACTGGGCGGAGCAACATGTACACAAATAAATAAATTGAAATACACACCAAGATACTAAGTAACTTCCAGGAGAGGGCCCTTGAAACTGGGAGAATCAGAAAAGATTCCCTTGAGCTGAGCTTTGAAGGGAGCTAAGGCATTCTATGAGACAGAGGTAAGTGCTTTCTGGGCACGGTAGACAGCCTGGACAAAAGCATATCGATGTTGATAGAATGTTGTATATGGGGAAAAGAAGATAGATCAATTAATCTAGAACATAGAGTACATGGACAGTACCTTGCTACAAGCCTCTTTAGGTAGGCTGATGCCACATTGCAAAGGAGTATTAAAGCCATATAGAGACATCTGAATTTTTTCCTAGAGGTAACAAGAAACCACTGGAGTTTTCTCAGCAGGGGAGTGACATGGTCATACCTGGGTTTTAGGAATATCACTCTTCAAATGAATGAAGGCTGAGTTAGAGAAGAGTGAGGCTGGAGGCAGAAAGACCAGTTAGGAGGTCATTGTAATAGTCCAAGTGATGAGGGTTTGAAGTAGGGTGTTGGCCTTTTAGTATAGAGAAGGGGATGGATATGAAAGATGTTGTGGATATCTCCCCAAGGAGAATAGTCTGAGGCTAAGTTATTCACCGATAGTCACATAACTAGTAAGTGTCAGAGTCAAGATTTGAGCTCAGGTCTTCCTGGTTGAAAGTACAAAATAATATGCACTATTCCATGCTGCCTCTCATTGACTATTGTTAATAATAATGATTTTGATTATACTATCACCTTACATTTGCATAATCTTTTAACTTTTTCAAAGCATGAACTTTTGAAATCAAAAAACCTGAGTTCAAATCCCAGTTCAGCTACCAACTCATTAACTTGCTTGGGCAAGTCATTCCCTTCTCTACATCAGTTTCCTTGTCTGGATTAGGTGATTTCTTGTCCCTTCCAGCCCTAAATCCTGTGGCCTATGACACATCTATTAAATTGTTTGATTCTTATACTAACTGCTAGTAGGTGGAGCAGGTGTTATTATTCCCACTTGACAGATGAGAAAATTCATGCACAGAAGTTGAAGTGATTTGCATTAGGCCATACTACTTTAATGAGTGATGAAGAAGATGATGGTGGTAATGAGCTAAGGTAGTTGCCTCCCTCCCAAACTTTATGTGAGTCTGAAACATTCTCCTTACCAAATACCTTGAGAAACTCTCCTCCACCCACCATCTTGACCAATTCATCTTCTGGGAGCTATTCCCAAAAGATTTCCAGCTCTGAGAAAGTATATCCAGGCCATAATGAGCTGTCCCTCACAGATGATGTGCAGGACCAAGAACTCTGGGGACTAGCCTCCATAGAATAAAACAGTACCCTGAGAACCATGGAAAGATTTTGAGACGTGTGTGTGTGTGTGTGTGTGTGTGTGTGTGTGTGTGTGTGTGTGTGTCTATGTCTATGTCCCCTCAGAGTGGGAAAGACCTCCCTCCTGAATCAGTATGTACACAAGACTTTCTACGAGGATTATCAGACCACCCTGGGGGCCAGCATCCTCTCCAAAGTCATCATGGTAGACAACACAACCTTGAAGTTACAGGTGAGCAGGATCACCCCTCCCCACTGTGTTCAGATGGACACAAATCCTCCCAGGTCCCTTGGGCTGACTCAGATCCAGCTACGTCCATCAGCCATATACAAGAGTAGAAGGGGGTCTAGAGGAAAAGTTTGAGTTCTAGTACTGGCTTAATTTTCATTCTGCCATTAGTTCTGGAAGTCCTTGAGAGTCGAGACTTGTTTTGTCATTGTATCCCCAGCACCGAGCCTTAAACACAGCAGAAGGCTTGCCTTAACTCCTCATGAGAAGATTGGACTAAATGTCCCTTTTGGTTGTTGTTTAGTTGTTTTACAGTCATGTCCTATTCTTCATGACCCCATTTGAGGTTTTCTTGGCAAAGACATTGTAGTGGTTTGCCATTTCCTTTTCTAGCTCATTTTACAGATGAAGAAACTGAGGCAAACGGGGTTAAGTGACTTGCCCAGGTCGCACAGCTAACAAGGGTCTGAGGCCAGATTTGAGCTCATGAAGATGAGTCTTCCTGACTCCAGGCCTGGCACTCTTTCCACTGAACCACCTAGCTGCCCTAGGTCCTTTACAACTCTAGATTTATGATCCCATGATTCAATGTTCCTAGATAGTTTATAAACGTCTCTGGAATTTGAATCTGAAATTAACTGCGAATTCTAGGCAGGTTATTTGACCTCAGTGCACCTCAATTTCCTCATCTGTCAAGTGGGATTATAATCCCTACCCTACCTACCTCACAAGCATTCTGTGAAGAGAAAAATGACATAATGAATATGAAAAATGCTTTCAAAAAGTTAAATGTACAATGCAAAGATATTATAACGTTCAAAGTCAGAAGGATACAAGGGATGGCTTGAGATCAAACCAAAGTGTTGGCCCCTTGACCAACCAGTCAATCAATCAATCAACATTTATTTAGCATCTCCTTTGTGCTGGGCACTGTGCTAAGCACTAGGGACACTAAAAGAGGCAAAAGACAGTCCCTGCCCTCAAGGAGCTTACAATCTAATGGCCAGAGAGAGAAAGGAAAGTTTTGATGTAAGCTGACATGTGAACCTTCTTCAAGCTGCTTCTTTCAAGTGCGTGATGGGGTTTTCCCCTCCAGATATGGGACACAGGAGGTCAGGAACGATTCCGCTCCATGGTATCCACGTTCTACAAGGGCTCAGATGGCTGCATCCTGGCCTTCGATGTCACTGACCGAGACTCTTTCCATGCCCTGGACACCTGGAGGGGGGACATTCTCCAGAAAACAGTGCCCACGGAGCAAGTTTTCTCCATGGTGGTACTGGGGAATAAGATTGACCTGGATGACCGAGAGGTAAGGGATAGACTAGGTTGGGCTGGGTAGTGGGCAGATGCCAGTGCCTCACCCCCAAGCCTCTTCTTTATATACTTGCCCAGATGCTGTGGTGAGGGCCCAGGGGAGCCAGCCCACTCCATTATCAGAGAGCAAGCAATAGTCCCCCAGCAAAAACCTTTGGTCATTTAATTCAACAGTTTAATTTATTTATTGCGTGAAGATACTGTATGGAGCACAAAATTATATAGAATTGAGGACAAAATAATATAGAATGATATTAAGCTATAGTACAAAATAATACATAAATTTATGAAACAAAATGTTTTGTGAGATCTGAGGGAAGAATAATTATTATGAACTTGGTGGGGGGAGGCTTCATGTAGGAAATGATACCAAAATTGGGTTTGAAGAATGGGCAGGAACTCAACAGGGAGCAGGACATACCAAGGTAGAAAAGCACAGGATGTGTAAGAGGGACACTGAGTAGTCCAAGCAGGCCACAAGACCAGGAACTGTAGGGTATGACTCCCCTACCTCAGAGTTGGTGGCCCAACCCCCAGGGACAGGAGGAGTGCCAGGAGAGGAAATGACGAGCTGCCTGAGTCATACAGTGCAAGTGGAATTCACCAGCTCTCAGACAGAGACAGAGGGATAGAGACAGAGAGGCTGACAGACAAAGAGAGAGATACAGAGAGAGAAAGAGACACAGAGAGACAGGGACAGAGAACTGATATGGAGATGACCCTGAGATAGGAGGTGTGGGAAGTAGGGGCTGGGGAAGGGAGACTAGAAGCTATGTATTTCAGCTCCCTGTGGGTCCTGAAGTATGGGGCAGAGACCTGACTATCTGTCCACAAGTCCCCACCCACTGGGCTTTTGTCAGCAAGTTGTCCATCTTGGGCTCAGATGAACAATGGAGACATTGTGAGGGAGGGCAGAGAGCCCAAGAGGAGGGGATTTGAATCATACTGCCCCTTCAGAGCCCTGGAGTCAGGAGGGAAAGGGAACTGTGATGGCACCTTTGATCACTGACAAGACCTGCTCGTCAGAGACCTGTGGAAAATAAAGCAGTCAATATCCTTAGGGACAGGAGGCAACTCGATCCTCCCAATTGTCATGATGCGTAACTAAAAATGTGGCCAGAGTCCAGCTCAGCGCCCATCAGGTTATCTTCAACAAGCATGAATCCGGAGGAGAGAACCATTGTAAGCGATAGAAGGGCTGCCCCGTGACAGGCTGGGCAACTCCCCAGGTACTCAGGCCCCTGCTGCTTCTTCTTCCCCTAAGAAAGAGATCCGACTCCCAGACACAGGCTCAGATGGGGAGGGGAGAGTTGGGCTGCTGGGATTCTGGCCAGAAGGAATGAAAGCTTAGATTGCCTCCCGGCTTTCGGGCTTACAAACATAACAACCCTGTGAGGGGGCCACTGCAAATATCCTCATCCCCTTGGAGCTAAGGCTCAGAAAGGCCAAATGACTTGCCTTTGGTCACACAGTAATTGCCACAACTAGGGTTTGACCCCAGTTCCCCCGACTCCAAATCTAGATCTCTTTCCTCTATCCCAGGTCAGGCTGCAAAGATATCATCCCTCACCCCTCTCCCTGACAGGGGTCCCAAACTTCTACCATCACTAGCTATGGGAAACTATAGTCTATCCTGGGAATTGGGGGGAGGGGGAGAAGCACAGGAAAAAGGCAGAGGTAGATACCAACTTAGGTGCACAGGTGCCCACACACACACACCCATCCAAGGAGTGTGGAGTAAGTGGAGAGGGTTAGGACAACAGAGATTATCCAACACACACACACACACACACACACACACACACACACACACACACACACCCATCCAAGGAGTGTGGAGTGAGTAGAGAGGATTAACAGAACAGAGGTTCTCCAACAAAAACACACACACCCCACCACCACCACCACCACCACCACCACCACCAAGATGGAATTTCACCCAAGACAGTCAGACATGTGCCTTCAGGGGACCCACATAGTTTGTTCAACTTCTGAGCTATGGTAGAAAGAATATGAACCAGTAGATTCAAGACTTCTACCCTAAGGAGGTCATTGACAAAAAGAAAAGCTATTTATACAGCATAATATTGATAGCAGCACTTTGCATGGTATCAAAGAATTGGGAACAAAGTAGAGGCCCATTGGGGAATGGCTGAACAAATCATGGTATGGGAATGAATGGAATATTTATTGTGTTGCAAGATATGACAGACATGATGAATACAGAGAAGCATGGGAAGACTTATATGAACTGATGCAAAGCAAAGTGAGCTGAGGCAAAAACACAATATACACAATAACTTCAACAGTGTAAATGGAAAGAACCACAATCACAAAATAATCAAAAATGAGGTTGCAAAATTATAAAGATCAATTATAAAGACCAAAATAATTATAAATTATTAGCTCCAGGGAAGATCTACTTCTACAGAGATGGGGGTAGAAGACTATAGAACACTACATATAATTTTGGATTTGTTTATTGTGTGGACTGATTTTGCTGATTTTTTTCTCTTTTTTTCCTCTTTTTTTTAAAAAAAAAATTTGTTATAAGAGATGACACTCTGGTTGAGAGGGAGAAGAGGGAGATAGGAAGAAATCTAGGTAATGTAAAAACAAAAGATACCAATAAAAATCTATTTTTTTTAAAAAATTCAATTAAAAAAAGGTAAAGCTGTTGTTTGAGCAATGACTACATGCCCAGTAACATGACTTCCTGGAGGTTTTTACTTGCAGGGCTCTTTAGAGGTTATTCAACTCTGTTCTTTACCTCCCTTATCCTTCCTGGCTTCAATTAAGTTAGAAAAGCTGGAGTTAGTGAAAAGAGCATGGGATTTGGAAGTGGGAGATTTTTGTTCAAATTTTTTTTTTTTTAAGTTTAATTGATGTATTTTGATTTTACATTACAAAAATATCCAGACTACTCCCACTGTCTTGTAACAAATGAGAGCTCTGTTGTAACACAGAAAAACAATTAAGCAAAACTAACCCTTATCTGAAAATGTATGCAACATTCCATACCTGGATCCCCCACTTCTATTTTTAAAGTTTTTTAATTAATGAAAATCTATTTTCTCTTCTTCCCCAACCCCATTGGAAAAAAAAGAGAGAAAAAAACCCAAATTCTTTGTAACAAAAAGCATAGTCAAGCAAAACAGTCCCCTCATTGGCTGTATTATATGTATGTATGTATATATATACATATATGTATGCATATACACATATATACACACACATATACATATATATACATATACATACACATATACATATACAGGAGGTACATAGCATGTTTCATCATCAGTCCTTTTAAATCACGGATGGTCATTTTATTGATCAAAGTTCTTTTATAGCTTTTGAAGTTGTTTGTTTTAACAGTATTGTTGGGGGTTTTTTTCCTCCTGGTTCTGCTCATTTCATTCTTCATCAGTTTATAAAAATCTTCAAAGTTTTTTTCAAAATAATTTTGATGCTATATTATCAATTGTTCTGGTTGAAATCCCTTCACTTTTTATCAGTTCACAAAAGTCTTTCTATGTCCTTTTAAAATGTATTTCCTCATTTCTTATAGCAAACACCATAGTATTCTTTAACATTCACATCCCACAATTTATTCAGCCAGTCTTCATTTGATGGGCATTCCTTTAGTTACCAGGGTTACTTAAAAAAAGGCTGCTATAAATATTTGTGCACAGACAGAACATTTTCCTATTTCTTTGATCTCTTTTGGGTATAGATTTAGGCACACACTGTATAGTAACCTTTTGTGTATGCTTCCAAATTGCTTTCCAGAATGGTTGGACCCATTCACAGCTTCACCAACAATGCAACAATGTGTGTTTTCCCCACAGCCCCTTCACCATGTATCATTTTCCTTTTCTGTCATCGTTGCCAATCTGATGAGTGTGAGATGGAATCTCATAACTGCTTTAATTTGCATTTCTCTAATTAACAGTGATTTGGAGCAGTTTTCCCATGTGGCTATAGATAACCTGGGTTTTTTCCCTTGAGAACTATCTGTCCTATCTTTAGAGTACATATGAATTGGGAAAATGCCCTTGCTCTTATACATTTGAATCAGTTCCTTAAATATCTTGGAAATGAGACCTTCATCAGACAAACTTGCTGCAAAGATTTTTCCCCACAGTTAATTGTTTTCCTTTTAATCGAATCTGTGGATTTATTTATGCAAAAATGTTTAAATTTTATGTAATTAAAATGATCTATTTTATCTTTTTTGATCCTCTCTATCCCTTATTTGGTCATGAACTTTTCTTCTTTCCATAGATATGATAGATAATTTTTTCTGTGTTTCTCTAATTTCTTTATGATATGGACTTCTATATCTCTGTCACATATCCCATTTGGAACTTATCTTGGTATGAGGTATGAAGTGTTGGTCTACATGTAATTTCTTCCATACTGTTGTATAATTTTCCCAGAAGTTTTTATCCAATAGTGAGTCCTTATCCCAGCAGCTGGGGGTTTCCTGTTTATTGAATGCTAGGGTACCATACACATTTGCTTATTTGTGTTGTGTACTTAACCCATTGATTAATCTGTCTTTTTCTTAACTAATATCAAATTATTTTGAGAATTACTCCTTTGAGACCTGGCACTGCTAGGCCTCCTTCATTCCCACTTTTTTTTTTATTATTGTCCTTGAGATTCTTGGTCTTTTTATTTTTTATTTTTGTCTCCACATGGATTTTGTTGTTTTTTTCTAGATCTATAAAGTAATCATTCAATAGTTTGATTGTTATGACATTGAATAAATAAAATATTGTAAGTAATATTGTCATTTTTATTATATTGATTTATCCTACCCACTGAACAATTAATATTCTTTTCCAATTTATTTGGGTCCATCCTTATTCCTATAAACAGTTTAAACCTCAACTCAGACAGTTACTAGGCAAAGTCATTTAACCTCTCAAAGTCTCACTTTCCTTTCCAATCAAATGAAGATAATAATTCCTACACTTCCTGCTTGCTAAGCTCTTGGTAAGCCTCAAAGTCCTACGGAAATGTGAGCTGCGATAATCATTGTTCCAGGGGAGAAAGAACAGAGGCTATGGAAGGAGTCTGTGCCAAGACAAGCCTCAATGCCTCAGAGAATTGTGTCCATCATTGTCCCCTTATGCAGGTGTCCCAGGAGAAAGCCCTAGACTGGTGCAAAGAGAAGGACATACCCTACTTCGAAGTCAGTGCTAAGAATGACATCAACGTGGAGCAAGCATTTGAACTGCTGGCCAGACAAGCACTGTCCCGGGTGAGTAGCTGGGGTGGTCAGTGTCCAGCCCGGGTCAGGTCCCCCTGGGCCTCTTGGGAACAACAGGCTGGTACAATGGAAGGGGCACTGGCTCTAAAGTCAGATGTCCCCTCGGACACATCTTATTGCCTGGGTCACTTTGGTCAAGACACAATCTCCTGGGTCTCAGTTTCCTGAAGTGGTACGATGGATGGAAGAGCATTGGACCTGGAGTCAGGAAGATCTCAGTTTACTCTGGCTCTACACATTAACTATGAGACCCTGGGCACATTACTTAAAATTCTGTCTGCCTCAGTTTCCTCATCTGTTAAATGAAGATAATAATAACACTGACCTCCTAGGGATGTTATAAGGATAAAATGAGACAATATTTGTAAGGTTCTTTGCAAATTCCCCCTACCTTTCTAATCTTCTTACACCTCTCCTCCTCCTATGGAATCCAGTGACATGGGTCTCCTTACTGTTCCTTAAATAACTACTCCATATCCAAACTCTGGTCATTTTCACTGGCTGTCTCCCATATCTGGAATGTTCTCCTTCCTCATCTTTCTCCTGGCTTCATTTAAGTCCCAAACCAAAATCCCATCAGGGCAGCTATGTGCCCAGTGCTGGGCCTACAGTCAGGACGACCCCTCTTCCTGAGTTCAAGTCCAACTTCGGACACTCAATAGCTGGGCAAGTCACTTAACCTTATTTGCCTCAGTTTCCTCATCTGTAAAATGAGCTGGAGAAGGAAATGGCAAACCGTTCCGGTGTCTTTGCCAAGAAAACCACAGATAGAGTCACAAATAAACAACAACAACTCCTAGAGATATGCTGGTATAAAAAGGATTTAGTCACTCACTTACCAAGGATCTATTAAGAGCTTACTATGTGCCAGGTGCTGTGCTAAGAAAACCCTGGATATCCCCCATATCCTATTTATTCCTCCTCCAATGTAACTTTAAAGAGATTTAACACCACTTGTTTTTTTCACCCCCCACCCCAAAAAAAAAGAATTCTGCAGAAAGATTACACTGTGACTTTTTATGAATTCATCAAACCTGTGTACTTTGGCTAGAGTTCATACTACTGTCCCAGGCTTATGTCAGCCTATCAGGAAGCCCCATGATTATTGATGAGTTTTCAGTATCTTACCCATATCCCTGGTCAAATCATTAGCAAACTATCTATCTCTCCTTCCTTTTCTCAAAATGAGGAGCTGTCCCATCCAGCTCTAGGTAGTTAGGTGGTATAGCGACTAGAGAGCTAGATCAATAATAACAAATGTTTATATAGCACTTACTATGGTCCATGTGTTAAATGCTTTACAATTATTATCTCATTTAATCCTCATAACAACCCTACAATGTAGATGCAATTTTCATCTCTATTTTACAGATGAGGAAACTGAGGCAAACCAAAGTTAGGTGACTTGCCCAGGATCATCTAACTAGTAAATGTCTGAGGTCAAGTTTGACCACAGGTCTTCATGACTCCAGGACCACAACTCTATCTACTTTGCCACCTAAAAACTGAGTTCAAATTCTGTCTTAGATACATACTGGGGTGTGATCCCAGGCAAGTCACAGTGAATTTTGTTATTATAACAGCACCTAACTCCCAGTATTGTTGTAAGGATCAAATGAGATAATATGTGTAAAGTGCTTTTCAAACCTTGAAATGCTATGTAAATGCTAGATATGAAGTTACTGTTTTAACTCAAGTGTTCCCTATCAGCCAGAAATAAGACTGGATAAGATGACTTCTTAAAAAACTTCCAACAGCTAGTATTTTTATATTGCTTTAAAGTTTGCAAAGCGCTTATCCCCATTCTATAAATGAGGAAACTGAGGCAGACAGAGGTGAAGTGACCTGTCCAGGGTCACACAACTACTAAATGTCTGAGGCTAGATTTGAACTTGGGTCTTCCTGATTCCAGGTCCAGCACTCTATCCACTGTGTCACCTAGCTGCCTCTTTCATATTGTTGATCCTGTGAAGAGTACTTCAACAAAACATATTGGGAGGGATGGGGGGAGGAATTCAGAAGGGAACTCAGACAAGCAGGGCAATTTTGTTACTGCCTTGTTCAATTTTAATTTTAAAAAACCCAGACTGTGATTTCATTGATGGTTTTATTGATTCATTTAAACCAGACCTGTGTTTTCATGGTAGTTTCCTGTGAGGAACTTCCTTTCCTCAAGGAGATCAGGGCCTTCTCTGTAATTTAAAGTGTTAAAGAACAAATATACACTTTAAAAAAAAAACCCGTAGGTACAGAATTTGTTACATGTACCTCTTTCTTACTCTTCTTTGTATATGTGATGAGAAAGGCACCAGTGGGTGCAGTGATTTCTAAACTGTTAAGTACAGGTGGGAATATTGAGTTGGGGCAGCGGATCAGATGGATTGCTGCATATATTGAAATGATTGTGTTAATAGTCATTAGGTTCAAAAACTTTTTAAAAGAGAATATTCCATCCAACATCCAGTTCCTACTCAAAGAATCCATTTCATTACAGATCATGAGAAGTAAAGATTTGGAAAATAGGATTTGAAGACAGGGGAAAGGAGAAGGTAGAGTTTATGAAAGCTTTCTCTATCTCACCCCAATCCAGGGAGCCTGGAACTCTTTAACCCTCCAATGAGTGATGTTTAGCAAAAACGTAAGACCACCACTCTGCTTGCACTGATACAATTTCCCAGGCCACCATACATAGGATGGCAAATCTAGATTAGCTGTGTCCACTCAAGTAACCTAGGTTTCTAGCTCAGCTTCTGAGTGAACCAGGACAAGTTTCTCTGGGTCTCAGTTTCTTTATCAGTACAATGGAAGAAAAATCTCAACCTCCATTGGACATTAGAAAGAAGAGGACCTGTGCTGCTCTGGACGTGACTTCTGTTTTCTCCTTTCCTCCTGCAGCATCGAGGGATTTTAGAGAACTACTCAACTGATTCTATCAAGCTTTCACCAGCGGGTGAGCCAAGGAATAAATGCTGCTGATGATGGAGACAGAGGCCACCCTAGGAAGGGGCTGCTGATTGTTCAGGACTGGGATTGGGTAAAAAGTTGGGTATCCTCTGCCCCTATACTCCATAACCTCTGTCCCAGGCTTCTTCGATCTGGTGACAAAAGGAGAATTTTGATGAGCCGGAAGGACAAGCAATGCATTGTCACTGACTGAGAGCAGAAGAGCAGAGGATCCTGCTGGACCTATGATAAACATTTTTTCCTGCTGCAAGGCAACAGAAGGGTGAAACATTTTTGGAATCATGAAGTTCTCGAGCTGGAAGAGGCATTCAGTGTCATAGCTCTAGAGCTCAAACAGGATTCAGATGCCTTGTAAATCCAGCCCCCTCATTTTACAAATGAGGAAACTGAGCATTTATATAAAGAGGTTAAGTGACTTAGCTAATGTCACACAGGTAGTAAGCTTTAAACGTGTGATTTGAATCCAGGTCTTCTGACTCTTCACTGTTCCACACTGTTTCAAATCCTCTGTTTTACAGAGAAGGAAACTAAGATAAGGAAGGGAAGTGTTTGCCTGTGATCATATGGCCAAAACTAGAAACCGAGTCTATAAGATTTCCAGTCTTTTCTTCATCTCAAATCTTTCCTTCTGTCAAATTCCTGTTGAGAACTCTGTGGTAGTATGGGATTGTGGTTAGAGCACTGGAATTTGAGTCAGGAAAATATGGGTTCAAATCCTGTATGACTGTGGGCAAGTCATTTACCCTCTCCTGGCCTCAGTTTCCTTAAAATGGGATAGATGGACTCAATGACCTCTAAATCTATGATCCTATGACCTCCTCCCCCTGACAAAAAATGATGCCCTGCAATTAGCCTCATTAGGAACCTACCCTCCCCATCTTCCACCCCATACTGACTCACCTGGCCCTGGGTGTGGACAGCCCAATTTAACAAACACTTCTTTGTGGGATTTCATATCCTTGGACAGTCAGAACAGAGAGAGACAGAGACAGAGACAGAGAGGGAGCAAGGGAGGGAAACAGACAGACAGAGAGACAGAAATAGAGAGAGACAGCCAACCTTAGTCCGGCTATATGAGCCACACCTCAGTGCCAAGCAAAGGCCTTTGGGACTGAGCCAGCTGCCTTCTGAGAAAGAGTCTTGTTATGGAAAGTACCAAAGAGCTGTGGATTAGAATGTTGAGAAACCTCAGCTATAGTCTGAGCTGTGCCAATTACCAAGTCAACTGCTATGAACCTCAGTTTCCTCATCTACAAAATGAGGACAATGCTATTTGGCCTCAAAAGGTTATGGTTAGTCTCAAGTGAAACAGCCTGCTTTGAAAACCGTAATACTCTCTACAAATGAGCATTATTATTTGTTTACCTTGATAAGGTTCTAAAGGTACCAGCCCAGGCACAGAACAAAGGGGTGGAAAATAGCTGTGCATTCTATGGGACAGGTGGTTTGAAACAGGGATCTCTGGTTGAGAGGAAAAATCTTGGTTTCCCCTTGTGCTCCCCATGCTGGCCCAAGGTGTGTCTCCCATTCCTCCCTCCCATTGTGGTGCATCGGAAACACTGCCAGGTTTGGAGTCAAAGGATCTGAGTTCAATCCTGACTCTGCCATTTACTGTCCATGTGACCTCAGGCAATCATCTAACCTGTTTAGGACTTAATTTCCTCATCTGTAAAGAGCTGACTTAGACGATCTTCAAGGTCCCTTTCAACTTTCAATCTATGATCCTAAGTTTCTGCCCAGAGCTGAGACCACAGTCAATCAAGGGGTAAAGGTGGAAGGGGGCAGAAAGGACAAGAAAGGGTCCTTGCTTTCCTCTTCTGCTCATTCCTTTGTTGTCCCTTTGTGGCGGGTGAAAGATGAAGTGACTGAAGAAAACAAATGTTCAATCTTCCGAGCATATCAATTTATTAAGTAATGCATGCCAATTGCCTACTGAAGCGGGACCAGACTTTCTCACCGTAGACCCGGACCCCAAATGCAGGGAAAGACAGACGCTTATACATTAAAAACAATCAATCAAGTAAGACAGAATGTTGCTGTCCAGTTGTTCAATCATGCCTACCTCTTCCTGACCCAACAGCGTACCAGGCCCTTCTAACCTTCGCTATCTCTTAAAGTCTGTTCAAGCTCACGTTCATTGTTTCTATGACATCATCCATCCATCTCATCCTCTGCCATCCCCTTTTCCTTTTGCCTTCTTTCCCAACATCGGAGTCTTTTCCAATGAATCCCATCTTCTCATTATGTGGCCAAAGTGCTTAAGCTTCAGCTTCATTACTTGTATGAACGGCTTGAATTAATTTCTTTAAGTATTGACTGATTGATCTAATCTACTTGCTGTTCAAAGGACTCTCAAAAGTCTTCTCCAACACCACAATTCGAAAGTGTCAATTCTGCAGCACTCAGCCTTCCAGATTGCCCAACTCTCATAGCTGTACATTGCTACTGGAAAAACCATAGCTTTGACTATATGGACTTTGTTGGCAAGGTAAAGTCTCTGATTTCTAATTGGATGAAGGACTAGGGACTTTCCAAGTTGGGAGGGGGAGAATGAAAGGTGCAAGTCCCTGAAATCAATAAAGAAGGTATCCTACTCTCCAAAGTGTCCATAAGCAATCAAAGGAACATGGAAACAATGAGTGATCAATCAATATGGGACCAGTTTTCAGATAAGACACATGGGTTGCTTCAGATGTACAATTGTGAGAAAACTCCTTGCATCAGTCTTTGGATCTGACTGGGTTTTTGCTCAGCATAACCTAGATCCTTGTTTAAGGGTCTCTAAAGCAGATAGAGGTGGTGCAGTTTCCCAGCCGTGCAAGACTGTGTTCAAACAATACAATAAGGTTTTCTCCCAATTCCCACAATTGAATGAAGTGTTCTCACGAGACAGAAATTGGACCAGACCCATAATTGAGTAGAAAGGGAACTGAGCTAGCTCCAAAACTGAGTCATAAGATCCATCTTGTTTCCCATAATTAATCACTTGCTATTCTAATCCCCTCAATCCCCTCAATTTCCTCATCTTGGAGAGTGCATAAATAGAAGCTGCATTCAGGGATGACATTAAAAGTCCTCCAGGAGATGCCCTGCCTTGGGGAGAGAACAGTACCATGTCACATGGAGTTAAGTTGGGCTGAGAGAGAGAGAGAGAGAGAGAGAGAGAGAGTGGGGGTGGGTTGGAATGCCCCTGTAAGGAAGAAGGCAATATATGGACAGTTGGCCACAAGAGGTCAGTAGCACTACTTTATTCCAGTTTTCCCAGTATCAGAAGTTCTGGTTGGGAGTAAAGTCCAGATGTTGCCAAGAATGGTAGAGAGAGAATCCTCATCACCAACCACCTATGGAACCAGCTGATGAGGGAATAGTGGATTGCTAGGGTGTCTCTTCCAGGAGCACTTAAGGATGCCAAGTAGTAGGAAGGATGCTGGTATACAAGCAATTTATGCACGCAGACAGCAGTTAGCCATCGTTTAATGGCATGGAGAGGGTACAGTGGGATGCGGAGAAGGGAAGACCTGGTATGACTGGATAGTTTTATGTGAGCTAGTGGAATGTATTTGAGAAGATTCTAGTAAGGGGTTTGGTTGGGGGAAAGGGCCTCCCTAAGGCCCAGGATGGAATGAGACGAGGAGACAGGAGAGAGGAAGAGGCAGTTGGGTGTCTGTCCAGATTCATGGCTCATACTATTCCTGTGCCCACACACATCATACATCAGAAATGGTGAAGTTGACTTTGAGGCCTGTGGTCAGATCCAGTCTGATACTGCTTCTCTGAAATGTACCAGCTTGGCATTTCCTGATTCCTGCCCCTAGACACAGACAGTGTGGTATCGTCAGAGCACCCCCCCACAGAGGTAGCCCACCCTAGGAACCCCAATATTTTAAAACTCAGGACAGATTTTCATCTGTCTACAGCCTAGTTTTAAGTGGGATTCAGCCTGAAAAGAAAGGGACATATTCTGCTTTTGAGGCCTCAGTCAGCCCAAGCAATTCATTGTCTCATCCCCAAGTCAGAATTTTGATCCAGATAACCCCTCAGGGTCCAGTGTGCTGGTATGTGGATGTCAATTTCCTTCAACATCAACCCTGTCTCTAAACCTAGGGAAGAAAAGGTTGGGAAAGAAACAAGGATAAGAATCAATGAGAGAAATAAATTAAAAAGAAACTTTTTAAAAAATAAACTACATAAATGAGAGCTTATTGTTATTGAAAAGAGAAATCCTTTTTCCCCAATTCCAACTCCAGAATATGGTCCAACTTGTATCACCAATGTTCCCTCATACCTCGGTTTGCCCATCTATAAAATGGAGAGGTTGGACTAGATGAGCTTTGAGGTCCCTTTGAGCTCAAACTTTCTGTGGTCTTATGATTCTTCAGTCAGAAATCACCCAGATTTCTGGAAGTTATTTGATAACAAACATTCCATGGAATCACTTGGGTAAGTAGATCTTTCTCCCACCCAAAGTAAATTTTAAAATGATCATATACAATTAATGTTTTCTCTGTCACTTTAGGAATAGAATATAGAACTCCAGAAGGGGGGGGACACAAAGGAGGATCTGTTTCATCTCATGTGTCCGATTGCCAGTCCATTTAAGGCTGGAGAAGAGTTTCCTTCTGTGTTCACTGGGAATCTCTTGCCCTGGAAATATAGAAAGGTGCCACATCCTCCTTGTATCTGGGACTCTTTCCACCTCTAATGGGCTCTGAGTGAACTCATACAATGTTCCCAACTTCCATATGAGATAGTAATGTTCCTCCCTCCACACCAGTGATGCCAGCAGACATAGAAGCATGGGAGGGGTAGGGGGGGTAGCCTCCAGGGGGAGCCATTTAATTACAGCTCCCCTTGGAATCAGAAAGCTTGAGATCTGGATAGAGTCAAGACCAGACTGGCTCCCAGAACAAAAAGCATCTCCTGACTATAATTACGTAACCAAAGGAAAAGAGAACAATAAAAAGTGACCAAGCCCGAGAAACTGGTGTGGAGTGACCTCCACCACTCATCAAAAAGAACAAAACCGGAGCTAGACAGGTTGGCAAACCACCTGGACATTAAGGATGAAATCTGAAAGGGAGAGAGAGAGCAAGATTGTCTCTTTTGTGGGGGCAGGGAGCAGGGGACAGAGGGGTTGTTTCACTGAGGAGATACTGCTTATAGACCTCCCATGTCTGGCTTCTTCCTCTGGGGTTCAGTTTGGCTATTCCTTAGTGATATCCAAGAGGATGGATGACCATAGGTTTTCCCTTCTTAATATTTCTCCTCAGGGTTCTTAATCCAGACTTAAAACAGTCCACAGATTGTAAAATCAATATCTTCAGGAAACCAACATTAAATTATTTAAGTTTAAAGCTTCACGAAGACTTCTGGGCTGTCCTATATTTAGTGCCCACTGTGTTCAGTATAGAATAGGAAGGTTATATAGGTATCTATGCAGTGGGCACTGGCTTGGGAGCTAGACCTGAATTCAAGTCTTCAACCTGATGCTTCCTAGCTAGAAGACTTTGAGGGAGTGACTTGAGCTCTCTAGAACTCATTCACCTTGTAAAATGGGAACAATAATTGTATCACCTACCTAGTAAAGAAAGTACTTTGTAAATAGTAAAGTGTCATGTAGATGTGATGTTATTATTATGAGGTTTTCATAATAGCTTCCCTTAAGGAACTTTCGATCTAGATAGGGAGGTTCATTCAACAAATATTTATTAAGCATCTCCTGCATTCAGAGCATTATGCTAGGTGC